CTTTATAAAATAGGAAGCAAACTGCACTTACCCCTCCCCCTTCCCCTCCGGCTTATCTAGACACTGGATTTACAAAGATAAAAAGATAATAAAAATAAAGTTACCAAAATATCTCAAAAATGAAAAAATACCAATTGTTGAATATCCAATCCATAACATAAGAAAAAATGAATAAATATCATAGCCAAAGCAAAAATGATAAATAAGTACAAAATATTTTATAACATTTTTTACTCCAACATCTACCAATGGACATTTTTCTCCTAATAACTTTTTTACCCTAATAACTTCCTTTTAAAAAAACCTTGGTCCATAAAATTCAGACCCAAACATTAAAAACCAACGAATTCCTTTTCTTAAGACAATACATATAGAAATATTTAAATATAATTACTGCTTTTTTAGGGGCTCAATTATGTTTTCATTGTCCACCATTTTAACATAATTTAGCCTTTTATTTAGTGCTGTAAACGTTACTATAAAAATGAAACACTTTACCGTTACTCGTTACGTCTCAAAAAAGTTTCCTTTTTAAGAAAGGAAGGCGCGTTACTGACTATTCAAAAAAGTAATGGTTACGCGTTACTTAAAAAAATTAAATATTTTATACAAAAATAATATATTTTTTTTTTCTACAATATATAATAAAATAAAACTATACAAAATGAATATATAATAAGATAAGATCTTTTAAATAAAAATTTCATATATATAATTAAAATAGACATCTTTTATTAACAATTTTTCATTTATTTTTAGAACAACTCGTTAGGGGAATTTATTAAAAATATTTAAAGAATTATCTTTATTTTGAAAAAAACTTAATATATCATTTTCACAAGGATCTTCATTCATTTCCTCATCAAAAAAATTAATCTTTATCAGAAAATATTCTGGTATGTGTATTGGATAAAGGAAGATCTTGTCATATTTCGTAATTAACACTAACCATACAATATTCATCCATGAACGACTTGTCATTATCTGAAAATTTCTGTAATCAGATTTATCACAAGATGCGTCAAATTTTTTACAATTCTCCTTTATAAGACTATCTATTAATTTCACGGAGTTATAAAAAGAGTTCCAACTTGTTATAATCGGTTTAATCAGTGATCTTCCCATGTTTTCCTTAAAAATAGCTGGACAATTTGAAGATTGCCATATTATTTCACATAGAAGATGTAATATTTGAAATGGTTATAAAATGGACATTGTTACCTACCTTTTCAATGTCAATACTTGCAATGAGATTTAAAGTATGTGATGAACAGAAATGATGCTTAGTTAAGTATACAATACTATCATTAGTATTTTGATTTTCAAATAGATCAAATAATGGCAGAGGCTACAACATCCGATTCCTCTCCTTTTTCATACTCTAATAAATAAATATATTATTAATTTTTTTACTTGAAAGCTTTTATATTAGCATTGTCGGTAATGCATTGGGTCACTTTATTTTGTATCTTATATGTGGTAAAAATTGTAAAGATTTTTATGTCAGATAATCATATGTGTGTTTTTGTTTAGCCTTTTATAAGCTAAGCAGGGTGAAACTCTCTCAAGAGTGTCTGAGTGGAGCCAGTGTATCATCATCCCTAAATAAGAACTTTTTTAAAAGACAATATTATCAATCTATAAAATATATATTTTATATACCGATGATGACCAAGAATTCAGTTATACAGACAATTTTTGGGATACACAAATCCACTAATTTCTTTGTAATGGTGTCATATGCTTTGTTAATTTTTAATGCGAGTGTAAGCCTAGACATCACATTTTTAGTTGGCTGCAATTTTTTGATAATATTAATAAATGCAGTGCTTCCTACAATTGAAAATGGTTGTAAATCTTCAATTAAATTAAAAACTAATTCATCAACAGCTGATTGTGCTATTTTTATCTTTGATGTGGATGGATTTTGCATCTCAATGAATGTGAGTTGATTGGCTTCAATTATTTTTATTATTACTATTCAAATGTTCATTAATCTCTTTCATTTTTGAGGCAACAGTCAATAATTTTTTAATTAAAATATTATTAATTCCTGAATTTTATGCTAAAAAGAACTTAGCGTTTTCAATAATTGAAGATAAATCTTTTAAAAATTTAAGAATAACATTAAAAATTGATATTATGATTGCCAAATATAATTTTTCAATTTCTTATCTTTTCAGAATTATCATTTAAAAAGGAATCAGGAAAAATATATAGGTCCAGTTCTCTAAAACAATATTGCTTCATAGTTTTATTCTATATATATGTCGTATTGGGGTATGGAATCATGGGTTCCATGTCAATTCAGCGAAAATTTTATCGCGAAACACTTTTTCGCGAAACTTTAATCGCGAATGTCGTTTATCGCGAATGGATTTTATAGCGAAACTTTTATCGCGAATCCATAATAGCGAATACTATTCCGCGAATACAATATAGCGAAACAAATATCGCGAATTTTTTATAGCGAAACTTTTATCGCGAAACCTTTACTGTGAATACATTACCGCGAAACTTTTATCGCGAATCAATAATCGCGAAAATTTTATAGCGAAACTTTTATCGCGAAACATTTTAAGCGAATACATTACCGCGAAACTTTTATCGCGAATCAATAATCGCGAAAATTTTATAGCGAAACCTTTATAGCGAAACCTTTATCGCGAAACCTTTAAAGCGAATACATTACCGCGAAACTTTAATCGCGAAAATTTGAAACCCAAATCGCGAAGACAATGTAGCGACAATTATTTCGCGAAACATATATCGCGAAGATATTATAGAGAATTTAATATCGCGGTAATTGCTAATAATGACTAATTTATTTTGAATCATTTTTTTATAATTATATTATTTGAATAATATTTTTTTAATTCACATAGTTTGTAATTTTCTTATAACCTTAAAAATTTTTTACAATGATTAATTAACTTAGACTGGTTTATGAAATTTGTTATTGAAATACACTTTTTTCGCTATCCTATCCTTTCCTTCGAAGTTCTTATTTTATAATAATCGCGCACAAGGAACTCAGCTTTATCAATATATTAATCATTGAGTTTATTAGTTAAATCTTGATATTTATTGGCGAAATTGATATCTGGGTAGCATTCCTATTTATTGTCTGATGACTTAATATTTATAAATTTATCAATCAATTTTGGCCAGGGTTAGCAAGTCAGTCAAATGACCAGTCAAATGACTAGATTTTGACGGGTCAATTGAACGGGAGAATATTTGACCTGGTCAAGTGGCCATATATTCTATAAGATCTGAATATAAAAATATGTTTGAAAAAGAAAAAACGATATAAATACATGTGAAATGTGATCACAATGCTTATTGAGTTCCTAATATTAAGGAGAGCATTTTAATCATAGTGAATTTAATGAAGTATGTAATATAATAAAAGAATTAGGCATACAAGGTGGTGATCAAAATATTTCAAGCTATATCATAAATTTCAGAAATAAAAGCGGCTTGTTTAATAGAAAATCATGGGGATAGCAGTAACTTCCATAAGAAACAATCAGATTTCAAACTCAAGCAGTGGAATTAGCTTTGACCACCATGGCCATTAAGAGAAGTGACATTACTAACAATTTCTTGATCTACTTCTTCTTCAGAAAGAAATTGGTCTATTTGTGTCAATAATCTTACTAGATTTAGACAAAAAGAAAATTGATTAAAAAATATTAAAGAAAATGATGATATTCAATATAAAATAATATTTATTTGATTTTAACTATATTTGACCGGTCAAATGCACAACCGTGGTTTTGGCAGTCACTATTCATAAACAGTGTAGATGAATAAAGTCTACAACATTACTGTTTAGAATATCAATTTTGAATGGCAATTCAAAAATAAATTACATCTAAGTGAAATAAGGGATTTCCCCAATTTAAAATATTTATTAATTTTATTATTTTCAATCTTTATAGATATCTATTTATCTTTTCTGTTTATTTGAAGGGGGGGGGGAGGGGGCGTGATAAAATTTTTAGTTTAATAACTCGGCATTAATTTAAATATAATATTTTGATATGGGTTCTTATTGAATCTTAAATAATTTTAAAATATAATAAAAAAAATAGCTACACTAAAAATTAACAAATAATTAATGACATATTTGATAAATTAGAACTATTTAAAAAAAAAAGTATTGCCGAAATTTAAAAAAAAAAATTTTCCCGTCTGGCTGGTGCCATTCCTTTGGTTATAAATTATAAATATTTTCGCCATTCTTTCCTCTTTATTTCGGAGTCTTATAAAATATGTTATCAAGCAAAAATAAGGAGATCTTAACCTTTAAAAATTATTTGTTCCGCCTGGATAAAGTAGTCTCAGATACTAATTATTATAGATGTATCAATCAAGATATTTTTAAATGTCCCGTACGACTCACAAAAAAAAATGGTAAGATAAAAGATAATAATGAAATACACAATCATCCAGAAAATCCAATCGAAATGGAAACCAAGAAAATAATCAATTCAATTAAAAATGAAGCTTTGAATAATACTATGGAAACTCCAAACTTTATTGTGGCGAAACACGTATCTCAATTAAGTGATTCTATATCAATGGCACTACCATCACCGAATCTTATGAAACGTATAATTCACCGAACGCGGAGTTCAAACAGTTTTGCACCTCCGAATCCTAGCAGCCTTATTGAGCTGGTAATTCCGCATGAATATTCAATTACGGATAAATATGAGGATTTCATACTTCATGATGATGGTCCGGTAAGATTTTCTATAAATTTTTTGAACAAATATAACTAAATCCTTCATTTTTGTTGCGATAAGCTGCCCGATAAGAAACACTTTATTATAATTGCTTATTTATTTATCATGTGTGTCAGGTTCCCGACCGTGTTATCATATTTGGAACAAGAAAAAATTTGGACTTCTTAGCTTCATGCGAACATTGGTTTTCTGATGGTACATTTAAATCGTCGCCACCTTTATTTATGCAAATTTATACAATTCATGGGATTAGAATTACCTCTCATATATATATTGACCAATAGAAAGGATTATAAAACTTATAAAAGAACTATTATAGGTGACAACTTAATATCAACTCCAAAAAAAATTATGACGGATTTTGAAATGGCCAGTGTAAAAGCTTTCAATGAAGTGTTTCCCAATTCGCAACACAAATGTTGCTATTTCCATTTTGGCCAATCCTTTTGGCGAAACATTCAAAAATATCCAGAAATATCGCATAAATATAAAACAGATGTAGAATTTAATATACAACTTAGAATGATGGTTTGTTTGGCGTTTGTGCCACCCTTAAATGTAGTTGAAACATTTGAATTACTAATAAACTCCGAATTTTATTCTAATAATCAATTGTTACTTCAGCCTCTAATTGAAACTTTTGAAAAAGCTTATATTGGTAAAACGTTTGGAAGAGGCAGACTACCTGCTTTGTTTAATATTGAACTCTGGAATTGTTACCAATCAACACTGAACGGGGAAGCGAAAACCAACAACGCGGTTGATAGATTAAAATGCTATTTACGAGAACAAGCGTATTTGCGAAGTTAAGCGCCTGTATATTGGGTGGGGGGAGGGGCTTTGGCTAATAATTTATTTGATGAATTGAATTTCTCTCCACATAAAAATAACACAAAATACAAATCAATTTTTGATTATTAATTTATTAAAAACATAATTTAATTTTATAAAAAATTTAATTTTTATTTATTATAAATTGAATATAAACTTATGTATTCAGGAAATGAGTTTGGCCTTTGGAACAACATATTCTCATCATTCCATATGCAAATTAATTCCAGTGATATCAATATGTCTTTAAAATTAGAATATAATCCTTTAAGATTGCATAAGATAAGTTCTTCAATTGGCACTTCTCTGCTTTAATATTTATTAATATAAAATGGTTTTTATAACATTCCCAGTCTTTATAATATTTGAATTGGATAAAACACTCTTTTCCTTGACCAATTTTAGGCTACCCATGACATGAATTTAGTCGTAAAAAATTCTTCTTGTGGCATAGATGCTTCAGTTCCCTCCTAACAAGTTACCATCCAAACATGTGGAAATTTATATCAAGTTATCTTTATATCTATTATTTTAAAATGATTTAAAAAGTATAAAGATTTACTAATAAACTATATAATTTTTCCTAGGCTTAAAAAAACAACAAGGGTTGACAGAGTTAAAAATTGCTCAATATAATTCTGGTGAAACACCCTCTACCCCGAGAAAAAAATATCGAAATCTACATGCGAGAATAGTAACAATTGTTTCTGACTTCGAAAATCGATCAAGATTAGATTATCTTAAAGGAATCGCTATTAATATAACATTGAATGTTTAATTTTTTAAATTTTTATCTACAATAATAAAAATTTTGTTTGTTTTTATATAATAGTCTCAAAATTTTTATATTTTCATTATTTTTTTGTGACAAAAATATAGGATACTTTGGTATAAAATTTAGCTGGTTACATAAGACTCATTCATCAAGATATAGATTTTATGAGGGTATTTACAAATTCTTTTATATGTGTGTGACACATTCTTTATCTACCACATCAATCCCACGATTAATATTTCAAAAATAACTACCTTTCGTCATGCATTATAAAATTATTTTAAAATTCATATTCCTAGCCCTTGAGTCATATAGTTGTTTCCCCTTACAAATATGATCATTTTTGATGAGCAACATTATTAGAAAAGTACTATTAAAATAATACTCAAGTATTACACTAAAGGGCAAAGTTTAAAACGAGGATTACATTTTCCTTTTATTTATTAAAGCATATAAATTTATATCGGGGTGTTTTTGTCAGATTTTTTTCCCATGGTTATTTTTAACCAGTCTTTGTTCAAATCAGTGATTCTTTTAAAAATTTACACTTCAGTTATATATTTAACAAACAAACCTATTGGTTTAGACGATATGTTATGACAATGCTCTACTTTCATATTCAATAAAAAAAAAATTATTTTTTAAATAAATGATATCAACCCTCTCAAAACTTTTAACCTCCTGCCAAATATAAATAATTTTTAAAAAAATACCTTTCACCACTTTCCAATTTTTCAAATAATGATAATTATTTCATAACTAACTATCCCCCCTCTAATTTCAATGATGCTCCTCCAATGAGTTCGCAGTTCAAGTTACGATATTGACCTTGCTATAAAAATTTGGGAAAAAATTGGTTGTATTAATTTTGTTATATAGCTTTAAAATTCCTTAAGGTTATTAATTATTTAAATATTGGAATTTGGTTAAATTTTTTTAATATACTATATTTTCATTTGATTTGATAACAATGTAAATGAGCTTGGGTGGCTTCATGTCATGTCATGAATAATAAAATTAAAATACATCATTTTTTTTGGTTATATTTTTTAAAAATTATTTTCTAAATTTTTTTTATTAATAGCTCAACCTATTCGCGGCTTGATGAAAATAATTAGCTATCCTAATTGATTTTACCATAACCAATCCATCTCATTTTGATATAACATTTTCCAAAGTTGCCGCAAGTTATGTCATCTGTCGGAAAAGTTTCCAAGCTTAATTTTCTTTTGTATAAAATATCGAGTTAGCCTTTTATCTTTATCCTCATATTTTGAAATAAGGAAAAAAGTTGATTTTATAAATAATGATAATTTCATTTAATTTTTTTATTATAATTGCTTTCTTTAGATTCTTTGTTCAATCTAAATTTGATAATTTTTAAAATTCTAATAACTTTTGGTTCATACTCAGGGTTGCCAGGTCAAAATTTTCAAATTGAGGGAGATGTGGGAGAAACATGAAAATTGCGGTAGAAATATAAAAATTGCTAAAAAAAAATTTTTTGCGGGCGGCCTTCGGCCGGGATTTTGAATTGATTTAATTATCCGCCTATTATTTTTTATAATTAGTTATATAAATACGTCGGTAACTATTTTTCAAAATACAATAAAATCTTGATTTATTAAATTATATTAATTTATAAAAAAAACCAACGATCTTTTTTAAATATAAAAAACGATTTTAATTTTACAATTAAAAATATATTTTAAGCGAATGTCCCTCAAAACGACCGCAATTGGAAATCTACCGTGTGTGTGTATAACATTATAGGGATAGGCGCTTAATTATCAAGTATCACGTTTAAATACATAATAAGGTACTCCAAAATAAGATATAATACAGATGCAACTACAGTTGCGTCAATTGTACTTATCTTGTAGTACAACATTCACAGAGATACTTATCATCACAATGTTGGTAGAATCTTTTTTCCATAATATTTAACGACTCTAATATAAATGAAAATTATACTTGTAGAACAAATGAGCAAGGCTATCATTAATGTTTTAAGACCTAAATCCAGGAGGTCAATTTTTGACGATTTGAAAGATGGGCATATATATGCAATTCTAACAGATGCATCTAAAGGGATTTCCCTTGATCTTCCGCTATTTCAACAAAATTAAGGTCATTTCAATAAAACTATTAAATTTTTTTCCCTCAAATAGTGAAAAATCCAAAGACATAGCTAACCATATAATATCAGATTCGAGATGATCAATAAATTGCATGTCAGCTTTCTGATCTGTTAATGCCTCAGTGAATTTGGAAAAAACAGAGTGTATTTACAGAAGCGAGTCTACACAATGTTGGTTGAGATATGTTCCTAATATCGGCCATCGATAGAATTTTAAAATTTTATAAACCTTTAAAAATTATTTCTTACAATGAATGGCAGAGGTATATTTAGGAATGATTTTACATGTAGAATGTGCAGTTGCAATCGGAAGAATCTTAACAAAGATTCACAAAATTATGCTGCAGATGTGTCCATCTTTACAGTTAAAAATTGACAATAAATTTTATGGCGCCCTTGCTAAAACATAATTATATTTTATTTGAGATTTAAATAATAGAACTAAATGTTTATCGTCGTTATTGAGATTATAATATTCCTGGCATGACATATTATACATTATTTAACCATTAGCTCGTTCTCTAATGTTGTTAAATCCGATTTCTCTCCTTTTTTCCAAGCAGTCCTCTTCAGGCTAAAAATGCGCTCGGATGAGTAGAATGAGGTAAGGAGAAGTTTTGGCGAATCATAAAAAATAGAGAGAATTAAAATCTTTTCAAATAAGACATCAATGTCTTTCGGTATTTTTAATATATTTATTAAATTACAAAAACCTTAATTGATGGTTTCTGTTCCAAGGTCATAATATTTATACAATTGTAAATAGAGTTATTAAAATCAAATTTTGATTGTAAATATTCTAAAATTGTCTGAATAAAAATATCTGCATTATTTAAATATGTATTAATTAGAGTATTATTTGAACATTTTAATATAATATTTTTAGCAATAGCGCCATAAAATTTATTTTCAATTTTTAAATAGAGAGATGAACAGAGCTGTTAGCATAATTTTGTGAATCATTTTTAATAAAGAATATTCTGATTGCAACTGAATATTAACTGCATGCAGTAGATTTCTACATGTGAAAAGAATCCCAAATATACTTCTGCCATTTCATATTAGAAATTTTTTTTCAAATTTTAGGACAGCCTTTAAAATCTTTATTTAAGAAGTATTTTTTTAAGGGTTTGTAAAATTTTAAAATTCTATCGATGGCAGGTATTAATGACAACCACCTGATAGGTATATATCGCAACAACTCACACCATTCCAAGTCAGACCACTTAACCAACTCTTTTAATTCATTAACTCTTTTAGTTGAACTAAATTCGTTAAAATATTTCATCACAATTATTTCGACATCCACAGACAGTACATTCATTGCCTTCTTCATATACAGCCAATTGGTAATAATTCATTTGTGCTGCCTCAATTCGGTAACTTTAGTTTTGGCCCAAATTTACAGAGGCATTATCAGCGCAGAAAGCTGGCATGCAAATCATTGATAACCTTGAATCAGCTATATTTACCCTTATGTGGCTAGCTACATCGTTGGATTTTTCACTATTTGAGGACTTTTTTTTAACAGTTTTATTGAAATGTTCTTATTCTTGTTGAAATTGCAAAGGATCAAGGGAAATGTTTTAATATTTCCATGATTAGATACATTTGTTAGAATTGCATATAAATGCCCATCTTTCAAATCGTCTAGAATTGACCTCTAGGATTCAGGTACCAAAACATTGTGATAGCCTTGCTCATTTTTATTGCCACAAGTAAGGTTTGCACTTATATTGGAGTCGTTAAATATCATGAGAAAAAGATTCTACCCACATTGTAATGATATATATAGAGCTCTGTGAATGTTGAACTACACAATAGGTGTATACGATTTCCGCAAATATAGTTTCATTTTGAGAATATTTTTGTATTGCAATCGATGTTGATATACTCCCCTGTACTGACTAATATTAATGAAATAATGTTGATTTATCATTGGATAAAAATAAAACAGGATAGAAAGAAATTTACAAACTAGACATGTTTTTCGAATAAATATTTAAAATTTAATTTAAAAATATAAAAATAATCAATTAATGTCTCAAAATTATTATTTACATA